GGGGGGAGGGGGCGAACTCTCGCGTTATTCCCGCGGCCGCTCCGCGGCGGGGGCGGCGGGGGGGCGGGGGGGGGGCGCCCCGCGCTGGCCCGCGTCCCCCCTGCGCGCGCTGTCGCCCCCGTCGGCCGCTCCCGCAGCCCAGAGCAGCCAGTTCTGCAGTCCTGGGGCGGGGGCCGCGTTTTGGACCGCGGGGTAAACTGAGGCCCCATAGCGGGGCTGGGCGCTGCCCGGAGCCCGGCGCGCGGATTGAGGCGGCCTGTTTCCCGCGCGTCCTGGCCGGCGCGGCGAGGGCGGCCTCGGGGCGCGGGATCCTGACCTCTGGCCCTGGGGGCCGCGCACCGGCTGGGCCGCATTCGGCCTCTTTCCCGCTGCCCCCGCGGGGGTCGCCTGGCTCCCGGCAGCGCCTGGCGGCTTGAGGCCATGGGGCTTTACCGGGGTCACTGACCATTGGGTCAACCTCTCCCGGCCCTGGGGGCACTGGTTCTGGGCCAGTGCCCACGCGTTCTCTGCCCCACAGCCGGGGCTTCTGCAGGGGACACCGGGGTCCAGCGTGGGCTGGGCGGTCCGGAGGTGACCGAGCACTGACAGCCCAGGACTGGGGAATGAACGAGGCGGAGAAAGGCGTGCTCTCCTTAAAAGCACCGGGGGGAGGTCCGTGCGCCTTACCTGGGAGGCCCCGCGCCGCTCTGGCACAGGACCCACCAGAATTTCCCCCAGGAGAGCCTGCCCACCTTCCCTTCCCTCCCCCCCACTCCCCCTCCTCTCTCCCTCCCCCTCCTCTCTCCCTCCCTCCCGCCCATGCTTCCTCTCCTCTGTTCTTTTCTTTTTCTTGAGATAGGGTCTCACTCTGTCATTCAGGCTGGAATGCAGTGATGTGATCTTGGCTCACTGCAGCGTCTGCTACCTGGGCTCAAGCAATCCTCCCACCTCACCCTTCCAAGTAGCTGGGACTACAGGTGTGTGCCACCACACCTGGCTAAGTCTTAAAGTATTCATACAGACAAGGTGTTTCTGTGTTGACCAGCCTGGTCTTGAACTCCTAGGCTCAAGCAATCTTCCTGCCTCAGCCTCCCACCGTGTGGGCATTACCCACCACCTCCAGCTGGCAGGGCCATTCTTACCTGATCACAACACCCATCTCCCAGGGAAGGCCTCAGGCCTCAGGAGGGAAGAGTCAGGGAGACTCTGGGTTTTCCTCTTGTGCCTACAGAGCTTTTTTTTCTTTTGAGATGGAGTCTAGCTCTGTCACCCAGGCTGGAGTGCAGTGGTGCAAACTCAGCTCATTGCAACCTCTGCCTCCCAGGTTCAAGCAATTCTTCTGCCTCAGCCTCCCGAGTAGCTGGGATTACAGGCATATGCCAGCCACTATGCCCAGCTAATTTTTTGTATTTTTAATAGAGACAGTGTTTCACCAAGTTGACCAGGCTGGTCTCGAACTCCTCGCCTCGTGATCCACCCACCTCGGCCTCCCAGAGCACTGGAATTACAGGCGTTAAACACTGCGCCTGGCTAGCATTTATTTATTTTTTAACCATGTGCATATATTACTTTTACAATTAAAACAGACTTTTAGACTGGGGTGGTGGCTCACACCTGTAATCCCAACCCTTTGGGAGGCTGAGGAAGGTGGATCATGAGGTCAAGAGATGGAGACCATCCTGGCCAACATGGTGAAGCCCTATCTGTACTAAAAATACAAATTAGCTGGGCGTGGTGGTGCACACCTGTAGTTCCAGCTACTTGGGAGGCTGAAGCAGAAGACTCGCCTGAACCCAGGAGGCCAAGGTTGCAGTGGGCCAGGATATCACCACTGCACTGCAGCCTGGCAACAGAGCAAGACTCCATCTTGAAAAACAAACAACACACAGACTTTTAAAAGTTTCATAATGCCTCTTTTTGCATGCTACAAACATCCTGGATTCCTTAAAATTCATGTGGGCTGGAAATTGCTAGTCAGAAAATGGAGGTACAAAGTGTACCTCCTTCGCTGGGGTCCTTCCGGCCCAGTCGGCACCTTCCCTGCTGCCCCAGGAGAAAGCTCAGCGGCACTGCTGTGGGGCTGGGCAGGGAAGAATTGTGCCTTTCCTCGAAGGGGCCTGGGATCTGCTTCACTCAAGCCTGGCGCAGAGCAGAGCACTCACACAAAGATGGGCTTTTGTGGAAGAGGCAGTCAGGTGGTCCTTCCCTTGGGAATCTGAGCCAGAGAGAGGCCAGTGCACACCAGTCTGCGTGACCTGAGGAGTAAGGACAGGACATTTCCCGCGAGGCTAGCGCTATTGTGTCCTTCGCTTGCTGACCTTTCCCCCTGGGGATAGGACCAGCAGGATTTCCTGAGGGCCGGTGTGTGTCCCCTTAGGTGCATCCAAGGTGGTCAGCTCTCCGTGTAAGCCTGGGTGTCCATACGTGCGACCTGTTTGGACATTGCCATGTCCCATGCTGGGTGAGGCCAACGCCTGTGTGCGTGTTAGCGTCTGGGCAACTAGACATCAGGGTGCATGCGGACAGTGTGTCTGGATCTCAGCATATATGTATCTAGGTTGTGGCATGTCTCAGCGTCAGGTGCTGGTTGATGTCCATGTGTGAGAGGACAGTTGTTTTCTGTGTGCCGCCAGATGCCAGGGTTTTGTGTAATGCAGCCTGTTTGTGTGCGTCGGGGACATGCTGGGTCCCACCTGTTTCTATTTCTACATATTAGGAGGTCGTCGTGTGTCTGCATGCTAGTGTTTGTGTGTTTGTTGATGGCATGTTGTAGGTGGGCATGCTATTACGTACCTTTGTGTCTGTGTGTCTGGCCAACTGCATAGACGTGTTTGTGTTGGTGTTTGCTGGTGTCAGCGTCATTGAGTCTCTGTGTATGAGTGTCTGTGTGTGGCTTATGCCTCCGAGTTCTTTTTTTTTTTTTTTTTTTTTTTTTTTTTTGAGACAGAGTCTTTCTATGTTGCCAGGCGCTAGCCTGGAGTGCAGTGGCACGATCTCAGCTCACTTTAACCTCCACCTCCTGGGTTCAAGCAATTCTCCTGCCTCAGCTTCCCGAGTAGCTGGGACTACAGGCGCGCACCACCACGCCCGGCTAATTTTTGTATTTTTAGTAGACATGGGGTTTCACCATGTTGGCCAGGATGGTCTCGATTTCTTGACCTTGTGATCCACCTGCCTCGGCCTCCCAAAGTGCTGGGATTACAGGCGTGAGCCACCGTGCCCGGTGCCTCTGAGTTCCTGTGTCTGACTACTGTGTGTCAGGGTGTGTGCTGTGATCTGTGTGTATTTAAGACAGGGTCTTGCTCTGTTGCCCAGGCTAGAGTACAGTTGAGTGGTCAGAGCTCACTGTGCCTTGAACTCCTGGACTCAAGGAATCCTGCAGCTTCAGCCTTCCAAGTAGCTGGGACTACAGGTATGCGCCACCATGCCTGGCTAGTTTAAAAAGTTGTTTTGTAGAGATGGGGTCTTGCTGCGTTGCACAGGCTGGTCTTGAACTCCTGGCCTCAAGTAACACTCCTGCTTTGATCTCCCACAGTGCTGGGATGGCGGGCCTGAGCCACTGAGCCTGGCCTTCTGTGTTCCTTACGGCAGGGCACTCACTGCTGACTTGGGAACCCCCAGCAGATGTTCAGTTTTTTGTTTTTGAGATGGAACTTGGTTCTTGTTGCCCAGGCTG